AATATTGGGTTCGAACTGTAGTAACACAACGCTCATCATCGTTTCATCTTCAGAACATTGATTTAATCTATCTTGGACTTTTCACACCTCACCGCCAACATGGTCAACATGAATCTCCGAACGCTGGACTTTACCAAGTTCACCGGCACTGATCAAGAGCGCAAGGAATTCTGTCAAGCGTTCCTGGATGGCATTACTGAAGTTGGCTTTGTCAAGCTGATGAACCATGGCTTGGACGACAAGACCAACTCGGAGCTGTTCCAACAGGTAGTCTCGCCAATAAGCCTAGTTCACTTCTCTCTGCACATGACTGATGACTAGCAGAGTCGTAATTTGTTCACGCTTCCCCGGGAAGGCAAAGAAGAGTTCGCCAACGTTATTGGTCCTAAGCCGCAACGCGGATGGAGCTGCATCGGTGCTGAGACGACTGCGACGTTGAACACGCCAGGTGTGATCAACATGGTCAGGGTCAACAACGAGGGCCTGAAGGACCTAAAGGTAAGCACTCCCGTTCCTAGCAATCTGGAACATGTACTAAGCCTCTTTGCAGGAGCACTTTGATATGGGACCTGTTGATGACCCCGAGTTTCCAAATGTGTATCCGTCTGAAGAGAAGGCTCCTGGCTTCAAGAACTGGATGGAGCAATACTTCATTAAGAGCCAGCACCTCTCGCTGCAGCTGATGGAAGCTCTCGAGATCGCATTGGATCTGCCCAAGAGCGCTCTCGTCGATCGATGCGAGGGTCACGCGAGCGAGATCAGAATGATCTACTACCCCGAAACCAACGTGAAGGAGCTCGCGGATGGAAAATCAAAGCGCATCTGGCCGCACACTGACTTTGGTATCCTGACTCTATTGGCGCAGGGTAGTACGGGCGGTCTACAAATTGAGGATAAGAACAATCCTGGAGGGTATGTATCTGTGCCTCTTGTCGAAAAGACGGAGCTACTCATCAATGTTGGGGACACGCTTGAGCGGTGGAGCAACGGAAGAATCCCGGCTGGGCTGCATCAGGTTGCGGCTTCGGGTGAGACGGAAGACGGGACGTTGCCGGAGCGTTACTCAGTGGCTTTCTTCTTGAAGGCCAATCGCAAGACGTCTGCTGGGCCGATTCCTATTTTTGTGCCAAAGGGTACCACGTCCAAGTATGAGGAGATGACTGCGCTTGAGTACCACCGACGCCGTACCGCTATCATGTACTAGTCATTTTCGGATGCTGTATGTAGTTCTGGAGAGTTGACATCTTGTTCTGGGGAATAGCCATTTTGTTTTGCATCCACTCAGTACGCTTTCTTGCCATGCCCCCCTTGTGTCCCTCTAAGCTGTGACGTGTTTTTCAGAGTGGCGGTCAGTTGAAACTAGTGGCCAGGATAAATTCACATGGAATATGTTGGTGCGTATGCCGGATAGCTACGTAATTAGGTGATGAGGGTGTCCGATGTTTATACGAACACGACCCTCATGCATAGGCCCCAGTCAGGTGTCCTGTAAAGCGGTTCCCGCCTTAGTCAAATCTAAACTGAATCCAGATGAGACGCTTCTTGGTCGTCTCCGCGAGATATGCAGCCCTCTAGACGAGATATGCAGCTTCTTCCGAGGCGAGATATGGAGCCGCTTGTAAGGCGACCAGCGATGGAATAGTATTTATCACTGCGTAATGGTTTCAGGTGGAAGCGAGCCAGTCATGCAGGAATGTACAAACGTGCCAATGCCAATTCATCTTTGTTCGCCTAGTATGCGGCGCCAATGCGGGATTGCGGCACCGTGGTAGATGTCGGAGCACACGACGTGCTTGCATTGTCCGTTTTGGTGCGTAAACTTGTGTAACAGTTGGAAGATTGGTGGAGATGAAGACCCCGGACTAGGGTAACCATGCAATTGTATCTTGCTAGCGTTAGGAAGAATGCATTGTGATGGTGAAGGTAAGCAAGGGGCTTGTAGTCAAGCAGCAATATCATCGATCGGAGACAAACAAATCATCCTCCTCGGACGTCCGAACAGGGATCAGGCGATGGCTGCCAAACACGTCGTATAGTGAAGCCAACACCTTCTGCATTGGGTAATATCTCAACTCGAGGGAGCGCAGTCAGCCCATGGCTCTCCGTGGGATGCGTGACGTCAACATGACGGCCAAGCAGCCACCATGTCACGTTTGCAGCCCCCAACATGGCGTTTGCTGCAACAACATTCATTCGCCAACCACTCTAAAGTACATACACGCCCTTAGCAGCCATGTTCTCGTCGCCTGCTTCACGGTCATCACCATTATCTTCGCAAACCACTCCTTGACATGGCTCCAGCAACAGTCGAGCTCGACACCCTCGACTCTAGCCGCCATTCACAGGATGCGAACAACACAGAGTCTCACCATCAGAATACTCACGATGAAAGCACCCTTCCGCCAGTCGACAGCGGAAAGGCAGCCTGGCTGTTTCTAGCCGCTTGTTGGGCTGTCGAGGCTTTTGTATTTGGTAAGTGTTTCTTTGTATGCTCTCATCTAGTCCCCAAATTTACATAGTGGTAAATAGGATTTGGGTTCTCCTTTGGTGTGTTCCAGGATTTTTATACCACCCATGAACCGTTTGCCGGTTCAGGCGATATTGCGGTCATCGGTACCACCACTCTGGTAAGCGAGTTTCTAAGCATGCATCTTCTAGTATGGAAAACTCACCAATGTCACAGGGAACCCTCTACATGGGAACACCTTTTGTTCTTATGCTTTGCCGCCTATTGCCCCGCTGGGCCCGCTGGTTTACGCTTCTGGGTCTCTTCACCTCCACTTTATCCATGGCAATGAGCTCCTTTTGCACTACGGTTCCCCAGCTCATCGGAACTCAGGGTCTCATGTTCGGAATTGGTGGCTGCTTCGCTTACTGTCCTTGCGTCGTCTATATCGACGAATGGTTCGCCAAACGCAAAGGCATGGCTTACGGCGTCATGTGGAGCGCTGCAGGTACTGGAGGTGTTGTACTCCCCTTGGTTCTTCAAGTACTTCTCAACAACCTCGGATTCGAGACAGCTACGAGAATCTGGGCCGGTATCTTCTTTGCTGCCACACTGCCCTTGTCCTTCTTCATCAAGCCCAGGCTACCAAATTCCGCAACCACACATATATCGCCATTCAATGTGCGCCACCTCATGTCAAAGTTATTCGCCCTTCATCAACTATTTAACTTCGTACAAGCTACTGGCTATTTCCTACCTGGCATCTATCTCCCCACCTATGCACGCAGAATATTTGGCGCGTCTGACTTTTTATCAACGTTGACCATCATGCTGGTCAATATCTCTGCCACGATCGGCTGCGTCATCATGGGTTGGATGACGGATAAACTCAGAGTTACGACGTGCATTGCCATCTCGGCTCTGGGCACCACTATGTCTGTTTTTGTTATCTGGGGACTCGCTACGTCTTTACCCGTTCTTTATGTATTCTGCGTCTTCTACGGCCTATTCGCAGGGAGCTGGACTTCTGTCTATCCAGGAATCATGAAAGATGTTGCCAAGAAAGGCGAGAATGCAGGTCACAGCTCGGCTGACCCAGTGGTGGTTATGGGCTACCTGTTACTCGCCAGAGGTATCGGAAATATCGTGTCAGGACCTTTGAGCGAAGCGCTCGTAGAGGGCGAGCCTTGGCGAGGACAGGCTTCAGCAGGCTATGGAAGTGGATATGGCGCGCTGCTTGTTTACTCTGGCGTGACTGCACTCTTCAGTGGGACTAATTTTGTACTCGACCACTTCGGCTGGCTATAAGTGCATTCATATTGAATCGAATTTACTCCATCAGCAACCGTGGAGTAGGAGAAGTAATACCATCGAGAACCATCATGAATAAACATCTAACTCATATGTTCTCACTCTGACCTGAGGTGACAATTCGGCAGCTCGTCAACTTTACGTTGTAGTTGTTCTATCATATGATATACAATATTTGCTGTTCATTCGTCGTTTCAGTCTCATCATTTCATTCGACAAAATCCACATGTTAAGAATGCGAAGTTTCACCACCCATCTCCTTCCGCGGCCACAAGACCTAGACCTCGATTACCCAAAAAGATTTGAGCTACTTGAACATCTTCTTAATAAGCCTATCTAAATACGCATTCAACTGGCCGAGATAGGATCTCAGTCCGCGGCTGACAGATCTCAGCTGTATTCGTCAGAACCCGACTGCCTACACCGACAATTTTCAGGGCAGTGATTACATCCGTCAGCATGCTATCTGAAGCCCGAGACTTGTGTCTGAATGCAGCATATGCATTTTAGCCACTGCATGGCATGCATTGGTATGGTCGGGTAAGTTTTTAGGGTCCGTATTCGGGCCCGGGATCCACTTCCCTCGGCAACCCCATTGATCGACAAGGGTGGGTATGCCCGCCCCGGGCTAGCCACTGGTACTTACAGACACGTGCGTCCGCGGCTCTGGTTAAACGTTCGTACATGCACTCATTTAGAAACTGATTAAGGAGATGCCGTGAACAAGAGTTCTTCAAGGACGGCGTGGAAACTCTGATTTTTGAGATTCTGTAAGCGAATTCAGAATCAATGACAGTTTCGAATTCGTCTTTCACCATTTTGCATGGCAATAAAACTGCCTAGGCTCTCGAATCTTAAACGGATCTGACTGTGCCGTCCCGTAAGTAGGATCAGATAGGCCACCAGCGGCTGACGCCTGACCAGATGCACATGAGAGATGCCGGTGAATAATCCTTTGAAACCACTCTCATAATGGCCTCAAAGCTCGTCATTCTGACATATTGATGCCTATTCGCAGTTGGTAGTAATTTCAATCGAGATTGGCGTGCAAGTGATTCGTTACAATTTTCAGGAGACAATATAGGCGGGTTTTGGTACAGCTGGGGGGTGGCCACGTCAGACCTTCTTGTTACTCAGTCTATTTGTTCTGTAAATAAACTTTCACTCCAGTTTTGTGGTCCTTGCAACACAGTGACTCAAAAGGCTGTCACACAACGTTCGGAACAATTTCAGGATCTTTAATATGCAAGACCAGGACCAGTATGTGGATGTCGACAACGAACTACGCTTGAAGGAGATTAGTCGACGCTCAGCATGCGACCGATGTAGACGGATGAAGACGCGCTGCGATCGAGGCAGCAACTGGGATCTTGCTCAACTACAACAATGTCGTCGATGCTGGCAAGCACGAGTCAAGTGTATCACGACTATGGAGGGTCAGCAACATATAAACAGGCCGTCAGATGAGCCCAACCACAGGCACTGGAAACATTTCAGGGCCCCTTCTTATGCATCTAGCAGCAGCTATCAAGTTTCTGAAGTTCTTAAACATGCAGCTGGGCAGCATTCAAATACATCAGCCGAACAGAGTCGAGGGCAATTCATCGCCGACGTTCCCCCATCATATCCCACTGCAGCAGACTCAAGATCCGACTATGATATTTGGTCAACATACGATATCGACAACTCATGGCGTGATTCAGGCGAGGGTCTGAATCAAGAAGAAACTCCCACGCATACAAGACTGGCCTCTATCTCGTCTACAAACAGGACGTTGCAAAACCCAGCTCCATCAATTGACATAACAGACTCATCCACAGGCGTCCAAAGCCTTCTTGCCACCTCCCACTTCAACCATACTTCGGAAGAGTGTCGCGATCTATTTCTACACGACTCTTCCATACCTCTAGAATCAGAATCTCTCGACAAGACCATCATGAGCGAATTGATGAAGTTCAACAACAGAGTGTCACTCGACCTTCAAGACAGCCCCGAGACCTCTCACATCACCACCAACAACAAAAGCGTACTGGTCAAGACCTTCCAGCACTCAATCGTTTTCACAGAACTACTAGCGCGCATCCGGCAAGCGGGAGACATTTCAGACGGCAGCTCATCAGGCTCCGAGAGCGCTGAACTGCGCTACGGCTGCAGCGCATCCGAGCCCTACAGCAAAGTAGACACAGATCTGGCACTCCAACTCCTTTCTTGCAACATGAACGTAAACAACATGTACAAGCGTCTCTACATGGAGCTCCGGACGCGCAGCTGGGAAATCGGAAACGCACATGTTCTTCCGACACTATCGCTCGAGGGTCTCCAAAGCCTCGACGTCGTGATGCGCAACCAGGTGCTGTTGCATGTTTGTCTACTCAACTTTGCAAAGATACAGAGCGAGTTTGAGGTTATTAGGAGTCGCGGGTATTTGACGCCTACAGCGGAGAAGACGTTTCAGATTGTGATTGGGGCGAGTAGGAACAGGGCACTGAGTGATGGGTTGGGGATTGAGCAGAGTCTGGACAATTTTAGGCAGATGCTTGTTGATGGAGGGGTTTTGTCTCTGTGATTATATCATCTTTGGTGTAGGCTGTACTTATAAGAATATACCGCATGAAGTGAAGTGATGAGATTGGCTGGGTCAATCGAGTCTTTGACGTTATCTATCATTCGCACCGAGCCCCAAAAATCATATAGTCTTACAGTACCAGTACGTCAACACAAATAGGTTATGAATTATCAAACTTTCTCAAAGATAAAGAATAGTAGGATGTAGAGATGCTGCTTAGTAATTTCTTACTCAGTATTGGTACCTGGTCTTGAGTGAAGAGCCGCGTGCTTTGAGTCTTGACGCACCTCTTTTCAGGGTATCGCTGCTGTCGAACACAAAGTCAGACGCCCATATTGCGATTGCCTCACCCTCCACTCTGGAAGCAGAGCTGTATCAAACACCGCTAGATTCCTGTCTCGTACCAAAAACACTGATCTACCAGATCTCAAAAAGCACTACGTTTGCGTACATACCGCAGATGAAATAATGCCCGCCCATGTGGGACGTAGCCGATATTCCACCTCATCTTCTTATGTCTGAGCCACCCCCAGAAACGCAACCATCATCAATTCCAGAGCCGAACAAGATCTTCAACAGATTAAAGTAGTCTATTCCAGATCACTTGTCACATACACAAGTCTACATACGAGACGACAAAGGAGTACCGAAATGGTTCCCACGTTTCGACATATTCAACAAATCGCTATGTGACACCACAGCAATTCCATTCAATTGGACTGTGAAAGGCACACCCGAGGTCCCCTAAAGTGATATTCAGATCAGAACTCTTGTATGTAGACAAGAGATAGCAGGGGTATGATGTTGCAGTTACTTAGAATTAGAAATTCATTTATTCACTCTTCATCTTCCTTCGTCAGCTATCCTTTTCAGAAGAATGAATTCGAATTTATTGTATCGTAACTACACTTCAATGTTGTCATGTGACATCGGTACGGATCTGGCTACAAAGCGGCCCTTGCGTGAGCCTGATCTTACTAGCGCTCAGGGTGTGGTCCAGACCTGCCACTGGAGACTACATTGCATCGAAGCAGCGTATCATGGATATTCTGCATCACGCAACACCCCGACCTATCAGATGCAAGACTCCCAAAATACCACCGTTCACCTCTTTTTAACCCCTTATTATTAAGCGCAATTGATTCACATGGACACTCTCGCCCCCCCCGCCCCGCTAGTGCAATACCAAGAATACGAAGGGCGTAGAAATTAGGATTCAGCTCTCTTCCCTCACTATTACCAAAAAACTCCCTTTGCTAACCACGTATCAAAAATAACCACAGCATGTGTCAGCAAAGTTCCGCCAAGTTCCTCTCTTGGCGATTCCTCCCCCCATGTCCTTGGCGCATCTTGATGACCATCGAAAT